TAATTTTTACTTTTAATTTAATTTTATTAGGGTTGTGGAGATGCTTGAGCATCTCAGGCCTTAAGGTTTATTTTAATTTTAATTTTTACTTTTAATTTAATTTAATTAAGGTTGTGTAGAGATGCTTGATCATCTCGGGGCTGAAGGGTTTATGGGTTTATTTTATTTTTTGATTGTTTATAAAGCATGTACACTTTGACATCGTCACATGGATGGCTATAATCATCAAAATTATAACAAATAACAGCTTGAAATATCTCACTTTGCATGTAATTAGTTTATATAATATATTCGTAATTACTGAGTTTTTTTAAGTTTAATTTCATCTGTAAATAAAAAAGTTCACCACATCCTTCTGCTTTCAGTATATATTACGCATCAACACCCCTGACAGCGAAGCGTCTTTCACAATAGCCTAGCTATCTGACGGATCTAACAGAGACAAATGCAAGAGGTTGAGTTTTCTGAATCTCAGAAACTCTCTGCAGACAAACACAAGAAAATCTCCAAGCCCTGCCTAAAATCAAGCTTAGCCTTTTGACACAGAATAAAATATGGAGCACTTGGTCCGGGCCGCTGCTTGAAGCTGCTTGCTGAGGTGAATTATTTATGTGGAGATTCTCCAGGAGTCGAAGCGAGAGACACTGGAATCACAGCTGCATATTAAAAAGCTCAGCTCTCGGATAAGCGGCGCTCGAGTCACTCACACACACACACACACACACACACTCAAACCTTTCGCAACTCAGGCCAAAAACTGTCTGAAAGCAGTCAGGGACATCTGACGAATAACATATCAAGATCTGCGAGATCACAGAGTTTGACCGAGTGCTCCTCAGTCTACATGAAGCTTCGACTCCAGGACTCTTGAGTGGACACTGAACAATAGCTACATGCCAATGCAATAATGCAAAAAGTTCACCCAAAATAAAAAATCACGTTTTCAGAGTTTTAGTGTCAGTAGTACTGCATTAAACTACTATATAATGTTTAATTTAATGTATGCTACACTCTCAGAAAAAAAGGTACAAAAGCTGTCACTGGGACTGTACCTTTTCAAAAGGTAAACTTTTGTACCCAAAGGCTGCATATTGGTACCTTTGTGCTACATATTAGCACCTAAAATGCACATATTAGCACCTAAAATGGACATATTAGCGCCTGAAATGTACATATTAACACCTAAATGGACATATTAGCTCATTAAATGGACATATTAGCACCTAAAATGGACATATTACCACCTGAAATGTACATATTAGCTCATGAAATGGACATAGCACCTAAAATGTGCATATTAGTACCTAAAATGTTCATATTAGGGCCTAAAATGTACATATTAGCGCCTGAAATGTACATATTAGCACCTAAAATGCACATATTAGCGCCTAAAATGTACACATTAGTGCCTGAAATGTACACATTAGCACCTAAAATGTACATATTAGCGCCTGAAATGTACATATTAGCACCTAAATGGACATATTAGCGCCTGAAATGTACATATTAGCACCTAAATGGACATATTAGCTCATGAAATGGACATATTAGCTCATGAAATGGACATATTACCACCTGAAATGTACATATATAGCTCATGAAATGGACATAGCACCTAAAATGTACATATTAGCACCTAAAATGCACATATTAGCGCCTAAAATGTACACATTAGTGCCTGAAATGTACACATTAGCACCTAAAATGTACATATTAGCGCCTGAAATGTACATTAGCACCTAAAATGGACATATTAGCTCATGAAATGTACATATTAGCACCTAAATGGACATATTAGCTCATGAAATGGACATATTAGCACCTAAAATGGACATATTAGCACCTAAAATGTACATATTAGTACCTAAAATGTTCATATTAGGGCCTAAAAAAATGGACATATTAGTGCCTGAAATGTACATATTAGCACCTAAATGTCCTGTTAGCACCTAAATGGACATATTAGCTCATGAAATGGACATATTAGCTCATGAAATGTATATTACCACCTGAAATGTACATATATAGCTCATGAAATGGACATAGCACCTAAAATGTACATATTAGTACCTAAAATGTTCATATTAGGGCCTAAAATGTACATATTAGCGCCTAAATGGACATATTAGCTCATGAAATGGACATATTAGCACCTAAAATGGACATATTAGCTCATGAAATGGACATAGCACCTAAAATGTTCATATTAGTACCTAAAATGTACATATTAGCACCTGAAATGTACTTATTAGCACCTAAGATGGACAAAAGTTTACTTTTTAAAAAGGTACAGCCCCAGTGACAGCTTTTGTACCTCTTTTCTGAGAGTGTATGGGGGAATATATTTGTGTGTCCTGATAATGCCAATGTCTGATGTTAGCAGTAAAAGTGGCCTACATTATTTTAAATATATCTAGTGACCGAGTGCAAGAATATTCGTCTAAAATAATTCAGTATTTTCAGCTTCAGAATCATGAATATTGTTATTCTGGTGTCTCTATTGTCCTGTGCTTTGGGTTTCAGCACCAAGTCCAAGTCTAATCATTTACACACACAATGTAAAACCAAATAGCATTTTAATCAACAGTGCAATTCTTGTTCACCTTTTACCGTATCGCAATAATATGGTATCGTGAGTTCAGTATCGTGGGGAATCACGAGGGAATCGTTGTGGAAACACAAGCAACTCTTAATTTAAGACTCATGAGATCGTTCGGGTTTCTTTCCTATTAAAAACAAGAGATTGTGTTTTATGAGAACATGAACTCTGCTTCTTGTTGTAAAAGTAGCGAGCTAGTTAGTAGGCTATATAAGTTACAGTGTTGGTAATTTTACCCAACACTGCAGTGAAAGTCATGATGTTCTGTTTCCCAAAGTCTCATCACGCCCTCATCGAGTGTGTGTGATCTACACACTCTTCCACCAGATGGTTACCGCATAAAGGCCACATGAATATGCAAAGATCTGTAATATATGCCCTCAGCGGCGTTCAGGAGGACGAAACATGCGGCACGCTGTTACTCAACTAACTTTAGTATTAGCAAACTTTGCCCATAAAGAGGCTATACTGCAGTCGACCAATCGTATTTAGGAAGTAGTTTCTGAAGAAAAGAGGCCGGAATTTTCTTTTGTTGTTGTAATGCTGTCAACTTTTTATAGAGTCAACAAAACAAAAATGAGGAATAGTGTATTTTGTTTTCATCTTACTTTTAACGAGATATTTAAAAACGCATCAGAACAGGTAAAACGTTTTTATTTTACTTTAATTTATTAATATATTTATTTTTTATTTATCTAGTGTCTCTGGCTGAAGTTTATTTGATATATTTTATTGGGCTGAAGTTTTGTTTAATTTTATTTAATTTAATTAAGTTGTTTATCTACTTTCTCGGCCTGAAGTTTTATGTTTTATTTTATTTTTTATCTACTGTTTGTGCTGAAGTTTTTTTTTTTTTTACTTGTTTACATATTACATTTATTCATTTAGCTGACGCTTTTATCCAAAGCGACAATTTGTTTGCTTTATTGTTCACTGTACTGTACTTTACTTCACCTCACCTCATTAAAAGTCTAAAACCTGATGAGTTAGTTCAACTCAAACCGTTTGAGGAAACCGATTGCCTTAAATCATTTAAGTTTATTAACTCAAACAATTTAAGCATAAAAAAAATTTGATTTGTTTCCAAGTAACTCAATAACTAATTGTTAAGATAACTTGGGTAAATAAAGTTAATAGTAGTAATTAGTTACTATAACTCAAATCTATCAAGTACACTGTAAACCTGAATAAGTTGGCAGAACTCAAATCACTTTTAATAGTATATAACTTAGTTAGCTTTAAACGCTAATCTGCTCACGTAGTAAATGCTAACTAGAAACAGCACAGAAACACTTGCTGTATAAGCGTAATAATATAAAGGGTTAATTGCTCTCAAATCAAGCTGAATGCACCACTTGTCACCATGATGGCAACTATGCGAAAGCCAACATTAACAAGAATTCTTCTAAATTAGCATAACAAAACATTAATCACTACTAAATCTCACACTTAACATTAATTTTACACATTATATTGCACTTAATTTTAGCATTTACACTCTCTTTCGAGTGCCATCGGCAAAGCATGCTGGGAAATAGATATCGCAGCCGTTTCAGTTAAACTTAAGTTCGTCTAAATTAAAATAAATAATTTAATAAAACTCAAAACAATGAAACAGTTCACTTTACTTAAAATATATCAGTTCTGTGAACTTGAAAGAAAAAGAAAGTGCTAAATACTCATAAAAATTAATTTGACTGAACTAATTCGTTGAATTTAAGTTTGTCCTACTCAAACCAATTAATTATTTTGACCGTTACACTGTAAAAAAATATTGATGGTTTAACTTAAAAAAGTAAGTAACCTGGTTGCCTTAAAATTTTAAGTTGATTGAACTGGAAAAAGTGAGTTAATACAATGAAGTAGATTAATTTAACCATCAGAAACTCAAAATAATAAGTTATCTCAACTAAATAAATTATTATAAAGTTGATTTGACAAAAGAAAATATGTTGTGATAACAAATCTTGAAAATATTTTTTACAGTGAGTTGGACTCCACATCATCCTAAACGATAAATATGTGTGTGTTTTATACTGGCATCAATGCAAATCCACGATAAAAGCCACAGCAAGATGCTGACTGAGTCAGACGGTCATTATAACCGCTCACTTCCCCTGATGAAAGATAAGCACTGATTGTATCTCAAATACATGATTGGTGAATCAAATGTTAACGATATCAACGCTGATTAGATTTAGCTGACATCTGCAAAGAGAAAAAAAAAATATGCTGGGTTGTTTTAACCCAATTTTGGGTCAAATATGGACAATTGGGTTACATTTTTAAATTACATTTTAACCCAATGATTGAGTTTGTCCATATTTGACCCAAAATTGGGTTAAAACAACCCAGCATTATTGACCAAAAGTGAAGATTGTAACCAAGAAAGGGAACCTACCAGAAACCGACATCCGTCGATCCTGTATCTCTGAACCGACTCTGCACAGTCCCTCATGTTGTTCTGTGAGCAAACACCATTAATCTTCAGCTCATTTACATATTCATTAGTAAACTACACAGAAAAGCATAAATCGTGGTTTGCACACAAACTCTCACCTGAATGAGAAAGCTGGACACCTGCGCCGGACTCCATCCTTCACATTGTTCCCGGGTCGGTAAGCTCATCGTGGGTCGGTTATACCCGTATGATAACTAACATGCAGGAGAGGCCAGTGTGAGGCAAGACTTTGCAACATGGGAAGTTCCTCTTGTTCTCAGTGATGGTAACTGACCCCACATGAAATGCTTTTCTCACACTTCTCTCTGCGGTGATGAATGCACTCGGGTAGTTAATGCAAAGCCACAAGCGCTCGATTTAACTTCACGTGTAATTTTAGGGCCACTATAAAGCGCAGATAAAATGTGAACGTTCTGCTTTTTACAGGAAAGTCCTGCTCTGTGCTGGAAAACACTGTTTGCATAAACCAAAAGGGAAATGAAAGTTTATACTGAGCACGCATTTTCACCATATATTTAGACCGGAAATAGCTGTTACATATGTAAGAGTTTTTTTGGTTTCATGCATGGTTGTTTCTCGCAGAGGTTCTCACTGCCATAAGATTTGTTCTTTATTGTCTAAAATATTGATTTTAAATGTTAGGCTTTTTATATAAGTCAAACCAAAAATTATTCAGACACCGCGGATATCATTTTTGATATTGTTTTACTAGTGGTTCATTATAGTTCTCCACTTTAGATATTCTACTTTGCAGCTACACTGTAAAAAAAAATATTTTCAAGATTTGTTATCACAACATATTTTCTTTTGTCAAATCAACTTTATAATAATTTATTTAGTTGAGATAACTTATTATTTTGAGTTTCTGATGGTTAAATTAATCTCCTTCATTGTATTAACTCACTTTTTCCAGTTCAATCAACTTAAAATTTTAAGGCAACCCAGGTTACTTACTTTTTTAAGTTAAACCAACAATATTTTTTTACAGTGTATAGTAATCACAACATTTTTTCTTTAGTCAAATCAACTTAAATAATTAATTTAGTTCAGATAACATATAATTTTGAGTTTCTGATGGTTAAATTAATCTCCTTCATTGTATTAACTCACTTTTTCCAGTTCAATGAACTTAAAATTTTAAGGCAACCAGGTTACTCACTTTTTTAAGTTAAACCATCAATATTTTTTTTACAACTCTCATTAGAGTAGGCTATTATTATTAGACTGTTATTGACTATTAGGTTAGGGTTCAGGTTAGTAGAGTAAAAGTTAGTAGAGTAAAAGTTATGTGCAAGGACTGAAATACATTTTGTTGATTGATTGATTGAACTTATAAGTTCAATCAATCAATCAACAAAATGTATTTCAGTCCTTGCACATAACTTTTAAAAAACAAAACCAACAAAGAAACAATATAAACATGTATAACAACCGAAAAAGGTGTAGGCTGAAGCCAATGCTTATTATGCCAACGAGTGTCACTTTTCTCTCTGGATTTAATCCATTCAAAATAAATGGACTTTTACGAACATTTCCAAGATGCTCATACAAGGGTACACATCTCAATAGTTAACATACACTCACCTAAAGGATTATTATCTAATCAACCAATCACATGGCGGTTGCTTCAATGCATTTAGGGGTGTGGTCCTGCTCAAGACAATCTCCTGAACTCCAAACTGAATGACTGAATGGGAAAGAAAGGGGATTTAAGCAATTTTGAGCGTGGCCGGTCTGTGTATTTCACAATCTGCTCAGTTACTGGGATTTTCACACACAACCATTTCTAGGGTTTACAAAGAATGGAGTGAAAAGGGAAAAACGTCCATTATGCGATGGCAGTCCTGTGGGTGAAAATGCCTTGTTGATGCGAGAGGTCAGAGGAGAACGGGCCGACTGATTCAAGCTGATAGAAGAGCAACTTTGACTGAAATAACCACTCGTTACAACCGAGGTATGCAGACAACACACACAACCTTGAGGCGGATGGGCTACAACAGCAGAAGACCCCACCGGGTACCACTCATCTCCACTACAAATAGGAAAAAGAGGCCACAATTTGCAAGAGCTCACCAAAACTGGACAGTTGAAGACTGGAAAAATGTCGCCTGGTCTGATGAGTCTCGATTTCTGTTGAGACATTCAGATGGTAGAGTCACATGGATCCATCATGCCTTGTTCCCACTGTGCAGGCTGGTGGTGTAATGGTTTTCTTGGCACACTTTAGTGCCAATTGGGCATCGTTTAAATGCCACGGCCTACCTGAGCATTGTTTCTGACCATGTCCATCCCTTTATGGCCACCATGTCCCCATCCTCTGATGGCTACTTCCAGCAGGATAATGCACCATGTCACAAAGCTGGAATCATTTCAAATTGGTTTCTTGAACATGTCAATGTGTTGACTGTACCAAAATGGCCGCCACAGTCACCAAATCTCAATCCAATAGAGCATCTTTGGGATCCCATCTTCATCCCACAAATCTCCATCAACTGCGAGATGCGATCCTATCAATATGGGCCAACATTTCTGAAGACTGCTTTCAGCACCTTGTTGAATCAACGCCACGTAGAATTAAGGCAGTTCTGAAGGCGAAAGGGGGTCAAACACAGTATTAGTATGGTATTCCTAATAATGCTTTAGGTGAGTGTATAACATTTTTTTTTTTTAAATTACAGTGTGAATTACACAATTTTAATTCCTTGTCACAATTATTCTTTAGGTTTACCACTTTAACAAATATACATCAATTTTTTGTATTAGTTCTACAAGTTACTTACAGTCTAGTGGACTATCGAAATAAAGTGTAACCCATTTATGTAAGTGAGGATTGCAAAATAAAGTAAACTGTGACATATTATACGCAACAACTCTTCATACAGTGACTACCAGTGATATTTAGACGTATTTGGGACCAAAAATCATGATCATGTTTTGCTGAAGTGTTTTGTCTTTAACTGTTAATGCGACCTTTTTACACACAAACTGAACAACATGAAGCGTAACTTGGTCATTGGTTGAGCTAAACTGGTATTATCTACAGTAAGTGTGTAGTTAAGTTTAACAGCTGACAGATATTCAACATAATTCATGTGTGAGAGTCCAACAGAAAGACGGACAAAACCAGTCAAATATCCACTGATCTGATCTGAACTATAGCGAATAAACCGTGATAATGTGAGAAATGTTGAAGTTGTCTGAATACATTTTGGTTTGTATTTTATTTTATGCTTTTTATTCTAAATGGCCCGTATAAGTTTTCCAATCTGACATCTCATATACATACATGCTCTAATTGTGTGTTCAACACAAAACATGACAGCTAGCACCATCTCTCCTAAAGCTTGTACATGTTATTGACACACAGTACGTGATGGAGAACAAGGTTGTGGTAAATTAAATATATATCAATGTTCACTTTTAGACAGGCTTGGTGTTAGGCCTTCTCCTCGCTCTCAGCAGGAAGCGGTGTCGTCATGCATGTGGGCCTGAGCACTGCTGCTTTTTATAACGTTTGTCATTTCCTATTTAAACAGTTGCAAAATCATCTAGCTGACTGCGAAATGTCATCAGAAGATATTTGACATTGCATTATCTACTTTATGTTATCACTGTGAAGCTGCTTTGATACAATATGTATTGTGAAAAGCGCTATAGCCTATAAATAAATGTGACTTGACTTGACTTGACCTCTGAATACTCAAGTTTCTGTTTCCTTAAATGTTTAATGATCAATAAGCTTCAGGTTTGAGAGGGAAATTGATTATTAGATCCATTCTTTTAACCTAAAATCATGTTCAAGTGTTTATGGAGATAGAAAACGCATGCAAAGATGAGATATAATAAGCTCACTAAAGAATGACTTCTGCAGTTTCAGGAAAGTTTTCTGCAGTGCTTAAAATGGTGCTTCTGCAGTGCTTCCAGCTGGAGCTTAAATCCTATACTATACTAAACTCAAATATAACTGAATGATAAAGAGAAAGAAAATAACTATCATGTAAATAAATGTATGTATCGTGATTCTGCGTATCCTTGACCCTTATCAGGTTCGGCCATCACAATGGCTCTGTGTGTTTGGACGTCTATAAAAGTGCATCTGCATCCACAAAAAAATGTATCTATCTGTAGATCTATCTATCTATAAATCTATTCAATAAAAAAGTGCATCTATCCATCATAACTTTTATGATAGTAGATGCACTTTTATGATGGATACAGATGCACTTTTATGATAATAGATGCACTTTTATGATGGACAGATGCACTTTTATGATCGATACATGCACTTTTATGATGGATAGATGCACTTTTATGTGGATAGATGCACTTTTATCATGGACAGATGCACTTTTATGATCGATACATGCACTTTTATGATGGATAGATGCACTTTTATGTGGATAGATGCACTTTTATGATGGATAGATGCACTTTTATGTGGATAGATGCACTTTTATGATGGATAGATGCACTTTTATGATGGATAGATGCACTTTTATGTGGATAGATGCACTTTTATGATGGATAGATGCACTTTTATCATGGATAGATGCACTTTTATGTGGATAGATGCACTTTTATTAGGATAGATGCACTTTTATCATGAATAGATGCACTTTTATCATGGATAGATGCACTTTTATGAGGATAGATGCACTTTTATCATGGATAGATGCACTTTTATGACAGATGCACTTTTATGAGGATAGATGCACTTTTATCATGGATAGATGCACTTTTATGATGGATAGATGCACTTTTATGTGGATAGATGCACTTTTATGATGGATAGATGCACTTTTATGATGGATAGATGCACTTTTATGTGGATAGATGCACTTTTATGATGGATAGATGCACTTTTATGATGGATAGATGCACTTTTATGTGGATAGATGCACTTTTATGATGGATAGATGCACTTTTATGATGGATAGATGCACTTTTATGTGGATAGATGCACTTTTATGATGGATAGATGCACTTTTATGATGGATAGATGCACTTTTATCATGGATAGATGCACTTTTATCATGGATAGATGCACTTTTATGATGGATAGATGCACTTTTATGTGGATACAGATGCACTTTTATGATAATAGATGCACTTTTATGATGGACAGATGCACTTTTATGATCGATACATGCACTTTTATGATGGATAGATGCACTTTTATGTGGATAGATGCACTTTTATCATGGAAAGATGCACTTTTATCATGGATAGATGCACTTTTATGTGGATAGATGCACTTTTATGATGGATAGATGCACTTTTATGATGGATAGATGCACTTTTATGTGGATAGATGCACTTTTATGATGGATAGATGCACTTTTATGTGGATAGATGCACTTTTATGATGGATAGATGCAC